TGTAAGAGCACGGCCACGATGGGTGATGTGTCTGATGTATGGGTGGATAAGATTATTGATATATGTTATGGACTCTCTAGAAAAACAGTACTGCTCAAATAAAAATACATGGGGATATGACAAAAAATCAACTCGTGGCCTCAATATCCTCTCCCGACGTAAATGCAATTCCCAGCTATTTAATTAAGCCTCCTCATCTACAGGATCCTCTATAAATGGACACGCCATTTTGGTCTCTGTGTGACGGAAACATGTGCAATCTATGAATGTACTGAAAGATTAAATGAGGTAGGCCCATTTAAACACCTTTCACTTTAAAAAGGGGCGGAGACCGGAGGAAACTCTGGGTTTCCCGAACAAAACCTGCTCCCAACCAGGTTAGGTTCACAGAGTAAGTTGCCATAGTAACTGACTCTGAGTTTAGATTACCTCTCTTTTTGAAATGGGTTTAATTTACCCCGCTTTCATGGGTTTAAGTTACCTCCGTTTCTGGAACCAAAAACCCAGAGTTTTCCTCATTTCAGGGTTAACAAACTCAGAGTTTCAACAAAACCTCCTTCTTGAAATGGGCCCCAGGTGTGTATTTAGATGAACCTCCTTCTTGAAATGGGCCCCAGGTGGCTCATGATGATGGCACAACAAACACTAGACAGCTAATTTTCATATTATGCTGACTTTTACTTGGTTACCCCTCCCAGGTTTAACAGAACACACAGCAACAGGTGGACTCATCAGTCCAGTTCACATAATGGGACACGTGTTTAGCCCAGATGCACAACACTGCATCTCTTCACACACACGTCTTTGTATGTGTAACTGCTACAAGGAACATATGCTGTCCCCCTGTGGCAGTCTGTCACGCTGGTGGGCCAGAATGACAGCCATTCTCCCCACAGCACTATTTGGCTTTTTAATAACTTTAGACTGTAAATCCATATAACATGGGAAAAGCAGCTGTGGAAGGAATGTGGCACTGTAAAAAAGAACTCTGAACTTACAGCCCAGAGTCATGTATGCAGCCTGAGAAAGAAACTTTTGATACCCTGAGCTACAGAACCACATTCCCAGATTTGGGAAGGTCTTGTTTAGTTGTCTTCCCTTTTAATACCAAAATAGAGCTCCTGTCTAGTGCCTGATGCCCAGCCCAACCTCCAGTGCTGCCGCTGGCTAGGAAGCATTAGCCTATGTGGGGGAACTGGTTCCACAGTACTCCACCCAGTCCAATGAGTTGGTTCATCCTGCTGATGTAGATTTCACTTTATCTTCCTTATATTGTTGCAGAAGACATATACAACTATAGCTATTTTAATATATTAATATCTGGGGCATGCACATGTCTGTATACCTGCTGCACACGCTATCTGAAATCAAAGTTAACACCTTGTTATGGATATTGTCAAGATACGGCGCTTTGAACTGTTTCTTATGGGTTGTAAAGTTTGTCTGATCAGGACGAGACTGAAATGCAGTGGCTCAATTAGTAGACAGCCGAGCCCTTTTCTAGCTCAAGTCTACTTTGAAAACAGAGAGACATGGATTTACCTCAGCTCAGTCTGCCCCACCTGTCGGCCCGATGTGGTTTTTTTTTTTTTTTCATTTTTGCAGTCAGTCTATTACAACCATGTATCAAAAATGAATTAAATAAGTGCTCTGGTAGACAAAACATGGCAGAACATGTCCTGGTGTAGCTGCAGACTGAATCTCAATACAAAGATCCAGCGTTGTACTGTGCATGTTATGTTTTAAAGTTCTTATTCATGGATTGATACAAAATGTTGTGGCCAACTTATGGCATTTGCAGCTATCAGAGAACACAGCAGGAAGTGCACTTATCGTATAACACATTTCCATTTCCTTGATTGGGAATATTGCTTTACCATGTTTTCAGTGTGCATGGACTGTATTAAGTGTTAGTTTTCCCATAAACTACATTTCCTCATCATGTCCCCTGTAAAGCTGTTTTATGACCTTGTTACAGTCTGGAGACTACATTTGCCTTGTGTGTCACATATTTCTATTGTCCTTTCAGAGCTACATAGTAGGCACCGACATTTATGGTCAAAGAAAAAAGACATCGCATACTAGGCAACACATACACTGTGATAAACAGAAACGTCTTTGTGTTTAACCAACCTGTATCATGTGATGACAAAAGGGAAGTACAAGAGGGAGGCCGTGACAAAGTGTTTGCATTGGTGGATGTCATCAAATGTGGTCGAATATTAGTCATAGCTTAAGTTCCAGTGAGCGGAGTTTTTATATTTAACCTGAGGAAATTTTTAAACACATCTCTAAGGATATTATTGGGCTGTGTTTTGGATAGCAGGAGGGCTCATTCAGACTACTCATGTCAAGTTTACTGAGATGAAAATTTTGTCTTTAAAGTCTATTCCTAAAATGGACAAGGCTGCCTGCACTCTTGCATTTAACCATTTGAAATTCCTTTATTTTAAAAGTTAATCTTTCTTTGGAATTCTTTCAATATCAGTGACTAACTTTGCCAAGGGACTGTCATGGTGACAAATAAGAAACCAGTGTGATGCAGGTAACAACATATAGGCTATAATCTGATTTATTCGATTACCCCTGATCAACAGTCCAAAGCGCAAAGATAATTCATTTACTATCACAAAAGACAGAAAAAGCAGAAAATCTTCATACTTCCAAAGTTACAACGAGGATTTGTTTTTAAATTACACAGGAAACAATCGGTTATCAAAATAGGTGCAGACACATTTTTTATTGTTGAATTAATCTGTTTATTGTTTGAGGTCTACAAGAAAAAAAAACAT